ATTTAATGGGAACGCTATGTCTACTTATCTTTGTGGGATAATTTAACTACCAGTCCTTCATCACCTTAGACGAAATAGGGTTAACTCAGCTCATGTTTTAAACGGTGCTCAAAGCAATGTCCTTCGAGTTCTTTGAAAACGTGATATGCTTTCTTCTTTCATACGAGAGATACAATGACAATCGTGAAAATACCATATTATTCTTGCATGATAGTACATATTTTGTAAACCTATAGATTTTTATTATATATTTAATGAATTTGCGTGCTCATAGCTTGTGTGAAGTTTGATGCACTTGAATTTATACGCACTCAAGGTTACCGTGTCGGCATCGGCAGATCTATTTTATTATAACAAAGCGTTAACTATGTATTGAATCAAAGTTTACACTTTTTATTGCTCTTTCCGAATTTCTATTTCCGCATATACGCTTGCCTAAATTGGTGATTATGCAATAAGTATAACTTGTTTTGAATACGTTAAAGATAGACAAGCCATTTTTATCTAAAAATTAACTTGTAAGCCTTTGTGTTAGCTATTATCTTAGGACTTTTAAGCATTGACATTCGCATTTGTTACGGTCATCCTTTCATATATATATCCTTACTCTATACCTGGTTGAGATTAATATGCATAATTTTTGACTAAATATGGCACGAATACTTTGGAATATGATCTTAGCTTGTTTCAGAAATAAATACAGTATATGAATCTTATTCAATTTTCATATAATTAATTTACTCCATATCCTATTATTTTGACTACCTGGAACAGACAGAGAACTTCTACTTGAAAGCGGAGCTACTTAAGTGGCTAAATGAAAATATGGCTCAGCTAAAACCGGCGACGTCACGTCAGTTTTCAATGGAGATGATTAATTCTCTCCTTTGTCAGATATTTGCTTGTGTCGAAGAGCGTAATCCAGAAGCACGACGTCGCGCACAAGAGTTACTACCCCGACTAATTCGCATTTTTGGCTGGGATTCAGTGCTACGTTCTGCAAATAGTATGAGAGCGACCTCTCGTGACCCTCTCATGGTTCATTTGGAGAAAGCCCGTGAAATCGCCAAGAGCCTCGTGGCCGTGACTACATCGTCCGGAGCAGCTCCTCTCTCTCTTGTGTCTGAAATGGGTGCAAAGGATCGAAATTCCAAGCTCGGAAGCAAGTCATCTGAATTGACGCATGGCGGATCCGTCAGAACTGTGGTTCCTAATCGACAGATCTCCGGCGCTCAGGAAACCGAAGAGGATGTTATAGGTTTCGAGGGTAAGGTTACTTTTTTTTGGAATAATATTTACGATGTTACTTGATCTCAGCTCTTTAATCAGGTAATGATTGAAATTACTAGGAAAAGTTTATAGATTATTTATTATAAACCAACTATATTTATTATCAAGGTTGTTTGACCTTATTTTCGAAATTTGGTCATATTGGTAAGAAGACTTGGAGGAACACACATAGGCCAGAGTCCATTGTATGCATGATAATTTCCAAAGTCGGACCATGGACGTGGTACATTCCCAGACGTTTCGCCAGCCTCAAAGTCGGCTTCGTCAGTGATTCTTGCCATTCTTAGTACCACACTACAGCACATCAAAGAGACAAGTTATGCCGATCCTTTGAACAAACGTGTGCTAAATAGTTGTGGTATCTCCCCTTCTTCCCTGGGCTATTGACATTTCCTGTATCCTCATATCACGCCTTCACTGTTACAATTTGTTTTAAGCTTATTTAGACGTAGTGTAGTGTGTTTCTTTGAACGACATTCATGAAAACCCTTCACACTACGCTATCGTTCTTACTCCCTTTACCCTTCTGCTCAGAATGTTGATCAGAGTCTGCTATATTGTTGCGCAGTCTTCCTTTATTAGGTTTTATCACTGTATCTTGCTTGTCTGTTATCTGCTTGGTTCACGTATTTCACTCGACCCCTGCAATCTCATCTGTGCTACTCGAGTCGTTATTACCCCTCCCCTGCGTCTGTGTGACTAATTCGAGGCTAAAGGCTCTGGGTAAGTCTCATGGTTAAGCCTTTGCTACATGGACCACGTCTTTCGTAAAACCTACTGTCAACCAACTAGCTCCAGTCTCCACTGCATCTATCCTGTTTCTATCCCTAATACCAAGCTTATGCTTTC